GTAAGTTACCCAACACGGAAAGCGCGCGGTCGTAGTAGATCGGTTTACTGCCTAATTTAATTGGCACACTTTGGCTCATTTCTTTCGCGCTGACATAACGGTTTACGCAAGTTTATTACGTGATTATGGCAAATTAAATAGAAGAAATTTTAACAACAACCAATGCAAATAAGTGTAAGAAGTAGTAATAACTAGAATATACTTTGGTTTTGGTTAAATTTGTAAAGTTACGCAGGGTATCCTGTTATTTTTACCTTTGTTTTTTCAATCAGGTGAGCTCAGATCTGCTACTACTGCTAATACTACACAACAACTACTACTACTTTTTCTGTTTAAAACTATTATTTACTATGTTTACTATGTGTATGCGTCCTAAAACACGTACCAAACTTTAAATACGTGCCATATTCTCCTTCTAATTACAGTACTATTCTAATTTCACACTCCTGGCTTTGTTGAAAAGAAGCATTTACGCATATTAACAGAAAATATTACTTCAAATTAAAGTCTGAATTCACGTAGCATAATCATAAGGCCAAAATTTACGAGTTTTACGCAGAATTTACGCAAACTGGGGCGTATTTCCCAGTACCGTTCTGCTCTCTAGTCATCACCTTTGGATAAAAATAGATGTTACTCTCTCTTTATAGTTTGGATCAAATAGTCGGATGAATTAGGTTCCGCCTCTAAGTGCTCAGGAGTGGTATTAAAATTGTAGAGGTAAAACGCGTTGTAAAAATCGACAGTGCTACACCTTTTTCAGCGTGAATCAGTTAACGAGGCTTAAGCAAAATTTGTAAATAATTATGAAAGTCAAAATGTAGATCAGAAATTTTAAACACTTTTTGTCATGTGTTTATAAATGTTGGTTCCATAGTGATGATCCATGGGCGTATACTTTGTCTTTGTGCTTCATTTCTGTCCTGTGAATGTGACTTTTTTAGTATTTCTGTTTATCTAATCTTGATATTTTAGATCACATCAGATTTTCCTAACGTAATCCTGCACATTGTCCAAGCTTTAATGGATTTAAAACAAACTATCTGTTAAATGTAGGGTGCTTTGTTGTGGGTCAGTGATGGGAAAAACACCTGCTCAAAAGCGTTTGGTGTGGAATTCTAAACTACTTTATTTGACAATAAACTTTAAAACTGCAGTGAAATGAGTGTTTAAGAGTAAGACACCAGCTAAAGTTTATTTTAGTCAGTGATTCTTATTCTTTTATCTATTCGTTGACTTGTCAAATTATTCATTTTATTGTAGTTTGATCTAATAAAAAACTAAAAAAAGAAAAATATGGTGACTGAAGGCTTCTAGATAGAGAATATTAACAAATAAAGTGTATGATTGATCTGATTTTTTTCATTCTTTTGTAAATTTGAATGTAATCTTAGACACTGCAGGTGAATAGGAAAAAATCTTAAATTTAAAGATATCAATTTGAAACTTCTCCTGCAGTTTATTTACGTAGATGTAACAACAAAATGTATTACAAGTTTTTCATCATGTAGTGTTTTCATATAAAGATAAGGCGTTTAAAGTGTGAAAAGGGCCTAAATTGGGACATTCAAAACAGAATCATGAAAAGAGCCAGGTTTAAGTTTCTTGCTTTTTTGTTGAAATCATAAATGCCAAAAATAGAGAGGATAGAGAGGATTTAGGATTTCTTATTTAGTATTTGAGAAAGCTAAATCTCACTTAAAGTTTCCCTAAAAATTCAAATTTCATCAGATTTTTTGGAGATGAATGAAAACTTATTCAACTTAAATCAGATTTGGAGTTAGATATTAAAAAAATCCTTCTGTACATGTCATCAAAATGTTCTTAAACACAAATTGATACTTTAAGGCCTGATCCTTGTTTTAAAAAGTAAATGTAAAGGCTTTCTGAAAATGCCTTTTTATCCCATATAAACCTATGGATGCAAGCGTGTTTAATTAAATATTTAAACTTAATCTTTGAGTGCAGAGTGGACAAATTTGTTGTTTTCGCATGAAAGCTTATATACTGAGAGACCAAACTGACCAAAAACAGCAAAAAAGCACCTTTAGTGTCTCGCTTTAAGAATGTTTTGCTTTAAAAGATCTTATATAGGTTTACGAAAGCTACTCCAGCCCCATTTACAAGTCAAAACCAAGCTTAATCCAAATATAGATCATATACATTTTTGCTGCAATATCAGATTTCATGGTGGATAAATACGGCCTTATATATTAAAGATTTGATGATTTGATGGCAGTGCGGTTGACCCAGTACACCGAGGTTCACGGGTCACCTCTCCTCCGTGCTGAGCGTTGTGCTTTGAGGAGCCTGCAGAAAGAAGAGAAGAGAAGAGGAGAGGAGAGGAGGGAATAGAGTGGTGATGTCCACGGAGCGGGCGATTATGTGTAAGTGACAGAGGGCGGTGCAGGCCGAGTCAGCAGAGCACCAGAGCTGTGGCCGTTTATCCCGCTGTCTGTGCGAGGAAAGAACCATCAGATCTGTTCTACTCACTGTTTATATAAATGCACAATGAGACGGAAATGATGAGACAGAATAGATTATACACAGACACATACAGTACATCTCTGCCCAGGACTAAACCCAGAACTAAACCAGGATTAGAACAGGATTGAACCAGGATTCACTTGGCCCGTACCTCTCTGTTAATGCCCCAGCTCGTGGGTTCTCTGAAGCTTAGCAGGTTTGGCTCTGGTTTGGACTTGGACGGGAGACCACTGGGACGATCGGGTGCCACAGTGGATCAGTAGTGGCTCTGGTGTCAAACTGTTGTGTCCTTAGGCAAGACACCTCACCCACTTTGTTGGTGATGGTTGAGATGTCTAAAAAGCTCTAACTTGACTTAAGAGATTGGACATATATCGAAAATTATAGTTTATATTATTTATACATTATATCCCTCTCACGGTATGATATTTATTGTGATATTTTCTGGACATAATTGTAAATATGCTACTTTTTCCTCTTAAAATGCCACGACAAGACTTAATCCAAATAGATCAATTTAAAACATTTATTTATTCTTGAAGTCGGCACGTAAATGGAGCAAAGGATCATGGTCTATGTAGTTCCCTTTGTTTGTTTGTTTATTTTTTTTAGCTTTTGCTGCACAATAACTATTCATTTAAGCAAAGAGACTTGTAATTCGATATATTGTGATGGTCCACAGTGTTATTGTGCGAACTTTGATGATACGATACCGCGATATTTCGGTTATTGTTACATCACATTACTGTTGCATTTCAGTGTATGTGGTTTAAGTAGAAAACGGGCATTCAAATCTACTGCCAGTATCTTATGACATTTAAAAATAAATAAATAAATAAATAGATAATCAAGATGAAACTCAAATGTTCATAAAAGTATACAATTATAATTTTCAGATATACTGTAATTGGACATAATGGTAAACCTTATTAGCACATGGACTAATTATTATTAAGTAATAAGTAATAATAATAAGTTGTAATAAGCCATTTTGTGTGTTTTTTGTGTGTTTATGATGTAGTTTTGTCACATGATTCAGTAATAATCATGAACCATAATCTAAAATAGGGCTGAGTATCATTAAGAAGTTGCCGATACAATACATATCTCGATACAGTGAGCTTTCGATTCAATACGGTTCATTGAAAAATTAAGGCTAAATCATGTCTGTGCTACTAAAAGTCTGTAACAAAATCATTTAGTAAAATATATAAAAAAATACTGTATCGATACTGTATGATCACATTAACTAATACGATATACTGATATTTTGATATTTTTGCACACCCCTAATCTAAAATGTATCTAAATTATCGAGATGATCTGGGCTTGTATATTGTAGTAAACAGTATAATGTGTTTTAAAGGTGCACTGTGGAACTTTTCGGTTGGGGATCTATCACCTTCTTGTTTCCATGGATACGCCAATGCTGACTCTGTGACTTTAAACAGCTTTACCTCACATTTATTCAATTACAGCTAAAAAAATACCAAGAAAAACAGGCATTCTGACTGTGACCGGGGTCTCCTCTCCACAGATCTGACCTGTAACTTGATCTGGTTTGGTCTCCATGAAGATAAAAAGGTTTAATACCATACTGTGAAACATTCCAGACAAAGCAACAACATCTTCACGGAGAAAATAATGCTGATAATGACGATTAATGTGTAGTTTGTGAGTGTAATTTTAATTCAGTCTCATTATGGGGTTCTCTACATGTGCTTCTATGAGTAAAAAGTCCAGCAGTCCTCCTTAGACTTTCGCTTGCACTGTATCCCAGCTCTCCTAACAACAGTGAATTAATCATTGTCTCTGGTTGTAAAAATTAAATAGTGCGGTGGCTGTTGTGGTTTCGGATGAAGCTGTTAACTTTGTATTGATTGCTGAAAAGCTGAGTGGGACAAAGCTGCACTTACATGGTCATTACTGTTAATTAGCACTGGCCACTATAGCACTGCGTGTTTCTATAGGACCCTCTGTGCACCTCGCGTGAGTGTGAGTCTCATGTATTATTTTTGAGCTCCTATACTATGCAAAATTGACTCTCGTGAGCTTTAAATCATGTTAGAATATTGTTACATTGTCAAAAACAGACCTGGAGTTGTGTTTGTTGTGTTGTGTTTCATGATAAAATGAAATGTGAATGTAGTGAGACCAAATATCGACCCTTGTTTACGTCATTTTACCAATTTTACCAATTTTTTTAGTATGTAATATCAATATAATCCTCAATTGGTCGCTGAAGTTTACTCTGAAATCATCTTTTAAATAGTTTTTTCTTGTTCCCCATGTCATAAAGCATCTGTAACTCTTGATTTGGGAAGACATATCAATTATTTTCTTACTTAGAAAGCTACAGAATTTGTTCAAAAATCATTCAGAATCACTTTTAGGAAGGTCTTAATTATGTATTTAATTGAAATATGTATGACTTTCCATCTTGGGGACCTTCCAGCTGATTTCATTTTTGTTTCATTCATACACGTTTGAGTAATCTTTTATTATTAGTCTGT